CGGGGCTTGGGGAACCTGGAGAGAAGCTCTCCAGCAACACAGAACTTTATTCAAAAGGGCTTTCTATAACATGCCAAGGGGCAAGAGGAAAGACCTCCCCCCTTGCTAGATACAGTCAAGTGTAGACCCTTCTGAACACCTGGTACCCAGGCCTGTGGTCTAGTCATCCTCTTATGCAGCCCAGCAAGCTCAGATCTCACTAGGAAACCTCTGTGGGTTCCAACAGAAAATGAAAATAGAAAAAACAACAAAAAGGGTAAGGAAGTTTTAAGTGTTTATAAAACAAAAACCAAAAAACCTGATAAGGAAGGGATCATAAGTAGTGGGGTGGTGGTGGTGGTGGTGGTGGCCGCGGCGGCGGCGGCGGCGGCGCACGCCTTTAATCCCAGCACTCTGGGAGGCAGAGGCAGGTGGATCTCTGAGTTTGAGTTTAGACTGGTCTACAGAGCGAGTTCCAGGACAGCCAGGACTACAGAGAAACCCTGCTTGGAAAACACACACACACACACCCCCCACAAAACAACAACAAAAGAGATAGAGATCATAAATGTAACTTACAGTTAAAGCTAAAATAGTAGTTTCGATAAAAAAGGAAACTCATTATTATATTAGAAATGGTTAAAATGAACCCCGTAAGTAAGGGACTGAAGTAATTAGACAAAGAACAGGTGGGTTATGGGGTTGTGTACCTTTTCATCCAATCACTGAAGGGGATGGGATGATTCTGAGTTTGAGGCAGCCTGGGTTACGTAGCAAGATGCTATCACAAACCAAACATAACAAAGGGGTGGGACAGAACCATAGAGAGAAGCAGGGACAGCCAATGAATATGAAAGCAAAATTTATAAAAACAGGGCATGGAACTAGAAAGAGGATTATAGGGGTCTTAAGGAGGGGTTTAGTTAGGGCCAGGGAATGAAGAGAGGGATAGAATGCACGTAGTTAGGAAGGGAAGCGGGGAGTGGGGGGGAGTGGAGGGAGGGAGGGGTCCAGCAGGAGGAGGAAAGGGGATGCGGGAGGCACTGAGGGAAAGAGAGCATGTGTGAAAACATGATGACGCCTATTGCTTTGTACGCTAATTGCATGTTTAGAAATAGCTTCGCAGGAGCAGTGGGACTGTATGTGAGAAAATGATCAAAACACCAAAAGGGAAACTGGAGTTGGACAAATGTAGACACACCACGACATACTTAATAACACAGTTTACCACAAAGTCCACATTTTGCATTTTAAGAAATTGTGGAGCTAAGGCAAATGATATTTAATGGACCCCCAATTTCTTTTTTTTTCTTTTTCTTTTTTTTTTGGTTTTTCGAGACAGGGTTTCTCTGTGTAGCTTTGCGCCTCTCCTGGAACTCACTTGGTAGCCCAGGCTGGCCTCGAACTCACAGAGATCCACCTGGCTCTGCCTCCCGGGTGCTGGGATTAAAGGCGTGCGCCACCACCGCCCGGCTGGACCCCCAATTTCATAGAAATTCACTATGTAATAAAGACGGACTTGCAAATAAGAAAATAAAAAAGCCAAAATACAATAAATAGAATCTACAAAACCCCCAGCTTACACTTTTTCCTATAAAAGGAGGCCTGAAAAGTTAACTCATACTGTATTCTCAAATCTCCCTTCGGAGGGTCTGTCCTAGGCATGGTAAATAAAGCCTGCTTAATTGCTTTAATTTGGATGCTGGTTTTCATTCTTGCTTGGTGGGATCCCAAGGCAGATGTGGCTGCTGTGGAGAGGTAGGAAACAGCTGAGAACTGCCTACGCAAACACAAAATGGAGTCAGAATAAGACGACGTTACCTTAGTCATTTCAAAGAGACAAGTTATCAGTCCCAAGGCCACTGTGCGCTCTGTCTGGGACATATTTGAAATACTTTGTGGGAAGAATCTGTGGCCAACCTCTTATGTCCCCTCTTGGAACCTGTACCCCGTCTGCCTACAATGCCCTACTGTCCTGTTGCTATGATTTTGAAGATGTTTGAATGAGAATCCAAGATGTTGTTGGAGGGACAGAGAAGAGCAGGAACATCAAGCTTTGTGATCCAGCAACCCTCCTGTGTACAGTGCGCGATGAAGGTCTTTGTGTAGTGCCTCTGTGTCCGCGCCTGCCCCGAACCACCAGAAAGTGAAAATCTGGAGGAGAGATTTGTGTGAACTTCCTGTTTCCCGCCAAAGAAAACAGGGCACAGTGTGTTATGTGTGTTATAGCAAACAGTAAAACGAAGTTAATCATTGAGCAGCTTAGGAGACTCCGGGGGTGCAGAGGAACCTTACACAGATGGTGTGATGAAGTGCTCATGACGACCAAAGGTGGAATCAGAAGAGACGACGTGGTCGTCTATAACTGAAACAACCTAGAAAAGAATCAGCACCACGTACTCTAAAGGCTGCTACAAAAGCACATGAGAAGACTTGTTTATAAAGTCGCTCTCGTTTTGAAGACACCCAAACCGGAAAAGACAGATAGATACAGTGGTAGGAATGACTGAGGATCGAGACATCAGTGGTTTCTGGTGGGGACTTTTTATTAACATGAATGATAGTTGAATGTCATGTCTGCTTCATGTGACTCTTCCGCTAAAGCTCTTCTAACATTAGTAAACACGCCAAAGCCGCCAATTTCACCTGGTTCAAAACTACTATAGGACTGAGGTATAATTCAGTGCCAGAACACCAAATGTGGTCCAATTCTCAGCACTGTTAAAAAAAAAATAACGGCATATACAATGCTTATCAAACATAATTGTAATTCTCATAATTATGTCTAATTCTTTCTTCTTTTTCCAGTTTTCATGTGTAGGCTGGTGTATGGATGCACGTTTTTGTACATGTCTGTGGCTGCCTGTGCTGTGTGTGTGCATGCATGTGAGTTCAGGCCAGAGGTTGGTCTATTACTCTTCCACCTTACCCATTCCGTCAGTCTCCCAACCAAACGCAGTGCTTGCCAGCACAGCCAGGCTTGCTAGGTGGCTTCCTTTGAGGCATGCAGGTCTGTGTCTTCTGGGGCTGGAATTAAAGGCAGCCACACCCATCATAATTTACTTAGGTGTCTGGGGATTTGCTACGCCCACAGCTGTTACACCTGTGTAGCTGTAGCAAATCATGCCGCTGCGCTGGGGTCCAGCAGCTGAAGGGTTAAGGTTGGAGCTTCCTGGAGCAAGGCCTCAAGCGGTTCCCCCACAATCAGCAGTCGCCATGCAGCCTGAGGATTCCAGGAGGCCCTGGAGGACAAGATGGCCTTGGCGACAGTCCTTGTTGGCACTAATCATGCTTTCTCTCTGTATGTCTTTTCTGTGTCGGGGGTGGTGGTGGTGG